AAGATGATGTTTAATAAAATGATATGTAAATAACATTATTCAATTAATATATAATTAAGATTAACGGCTAAAAGCGTGTGAATACCATCTTAGTATACTATTGCCACTTTTTAAGGGAGAGTAATATTGTGGTAATTTGGTAATAACATACGATAAAAGAGTATCATTATCAAGGAGGATAATATCGCACTTCTTCTCTAAGATTTTTTTTTAGTTTATTTAGACTTTAAATTGATTATTGTGTGCTTTACACAAATAAGTGAATAATTATATGACATCTAATTATTCCCGTTATATAAAGATTGAGTAGTAATAGTCTCTTTACATGACAAGTGTCAAAGCCTTAGAAGCCTGGCATAAATCATTCATTCTCCAATTAATTGACATATGTCATCACCTCAATGCATTCTATGGATGCACCATTAAATAGAGGATCATGTAACGTGTTACAGTTCAAAATAACACGTGATTCAAAAAATTAATTAAAAAATAATTTACACAGTGCTCTTATAAATAACATTATTAAAAAAATAAAATTTATTTGTTTTAAATTAAAATTCTCAACCGTTAAATTTATAAGAAAGAATATAAAAATTTAAAAGGAATTTTATCATAATTTTTTTTGGATTTCAAATATAAAATTTGAAATATTATGTTTTCAAAATGAAAGAAAAATAAAAATTGGAAGAAAAATTTGTTATTTATTAAATTTTTTGTATTTTTTTAAATCTAATAAGTGCATGACAAAGTTTTTTTAATCAAAATATTATTTAATTGACAATGTCTAATTTAGTGAGTTGACCAAAGACTATAATATAATGATTACAAAATAATTTAGCAACTTAAAAATAATTATAGAAAAAAGGAACAACATTTTTTTTTTAATTTAGGTTTTGTAAAAGGAGAATATAAAAAACAAAACGTAACAAGTCTCTTACTGACTTTAAGTATTTTACTTCTTCTGATAATATCATAAAAAAAAATTTAAATAGATATGCATATCGATTTAATACTTCGCGCACGCGCGAGAAATACTCTAGTACATTATTTAAATATAAAAAATACACTAAACAATTAAACAAAATCAAATACAATTGAGCAATTTAGCTAAGGCCTCCACCGCGGAGCTGAAGAAGTGATTTCTGTGCATAATTTCCCAAACATATTAAAGCCCAATAAACTTGGTCATCTTTTTGGTGCATTATAAACTTGGGTCTTGGTCATTACTTTTTATTTTAGGATAGGGGTCCAGTTTTTGGTATTGTGGACAGAGTCATTAGTAGCTTCAAAATAGCTTTACAATAATATAACCCAATACCAAAAATCTGGCCCAAAGCAATAGCTGTTTCAATGATAATGGCGGTGAGTAAGATAAAATTAAAATATAGAGTTAATTTAAATTAAAAATAATTAAAAAATTTAAATAACTTTTTGAAATTTAGTTATTTTTATCAATTAAATCTTAAAAAATTAAATTTTATCTTTTAAAGGTATAAATTAATTTTTTTAGATAAATTTACCAGCATTTTTATCTTTTAAGAGCAGATGGATTAATTTTTTTTAAAGAAAAAAAATATCTAAGCTGTTATCCAGAACCTTCTTTTTGTTTAGACCGGAAATTCCTTAACAACCAACACACGGCACAACTACTTGGCGTTTAATTCGGGCGCAACGACCTCATCCAATCTCCACCGTTCCTTCTATTTCTAAATAATCCATCGCAGCCGTTGATTAACCTCAGATTCGCCTATATAAAACGCCCTTAACCTTTTCTCCCTCCACAATCGTCAAACACGCGCGTAAATCCCAATCGACGCCATAACCACCTACCTCCGCTTTCTCTCCCTCTCTACGATGCGGTCAAATCCTCTTTTCTGAATCTGTTATCACGGATCGAACCTCGATCTGGCTATTAGGCATGGATCGTTGAAGGATCTCTCCATCGACCGGTTTCGTTCGAGTTGAATGGATCTGGTTCGAGTTTGCTGAGTTTTGTTTCGGATTTTCGACGGTTTGAAGAATCTGATCGTGTTTTCTTGGCAAGGTTAGTTGGATCTTGGATCCTGGATCCGTTTTCATTTTTTACTATTTTATTTTATTTATTTTCTGCTCTTGATTTTTGATTCTCTTTGTTTCTTGATTTGGTAATTGTTAGGGTTTTGGTTGCGCGGCGGTGACGGTCGTTGATTTTTCCATCAGATCGTGGTGGTGAAGGTTCTCATACGGTGGTTACTGGCGGCAGAGGATCGCGATCTGGATCTTTCTGGAGATTAACACAGTTTACCACATGGTGGATGCACTATCTTTGTTGTATCAATAAAGAAAAAGGTATAATATGGAATATTATGTGGAAATGAATGATGGAGGTTAGGGTTTTGGGAGAAAGATGTGTGTTAGGCGTATTGATGGCAGAGCTTTGAAGGTATATGATGTTGTTAGTTTTGTTATTTGTTTCATTTCTTTTGTTACCATCAGGCCTTTGCCATGTCAGGTGCGCTTGCTTGGCAGGCCAAAAAAAAGATAATAAAAGAAGCTGTGTTTTGTGTTTTCGGGGGGGAGAGATTTTTTTTTGGGGGTTTGTTTCATTTTTATGCCCCCGAGCTCTCTCCCCCTCTTGTGTGCGTGTGTTGTGTCTCTTCTCTCTCTCTCTCTCCTTTGAATTCTATCACATCACACACCATCGACAATTCTCTCGCTATGGAAGCAACTTTCAATTAAAACTGGTTAATCCAGTTGGAACCGGTACAATTCATGAATCTCAACTCCAATAAGGGTAACTCGAATAAGGTACATCATGCTAAACACTTTTATTTTTAAATTATTATATACTTTCAATTCCTTAGACAATTACTGTTCTAATGTTATATTTATGTTATAGCACAAGTAACATGTGTGTTAGACAATTACTGTGTAGTTTTCATTAAGGTTCACAAGAGGATGGGAAATTAACCATAATCTTCTAATTTTCACCAATAAAAAATCATTTTTAATAGCTAAATATCTACCGTTATTTTGAAATAATAAACAATCTCATATCTTTACTTTTATAAATGTTTTGATGTACTTATACAATTGTTTTATTCAATAGTAAATACCTCGCGTGGATAGTGCATTAAAATGAATCTCATGCAGTCATGTTACTCTAAAATGTAAAACATAGTATTGTATTCTTGAATCATCATTCTATATCGTGATTTTAATTTCAATGATGTTAGTCTTTAATCCAAAGGCGGTAAAAGCACTTGATTATTCTAATTATTTAGTAACTCCCAATCTCATTTGCAACGTCTATTGTGACCACAATTTAACTATTGTTATTGATTCCATTGATGCTGTACGCATAGTAGTTCTATTCCATTGTTATTATGTTACAAGCAATTTACTATGTAAGTTACATGGTTACATCTAATTACGTAATTACATATTCGCAGTGTGGATTAAGACTTAAGAGTGCTCATGTCCTATTATATATCATTATAAGTTACAGCAATTGCAATATATAATCTTATATTTAAGTTTAATAAGTTTACGAAGTTCTATCAATTATAAGATATATTGAGATCTTGATATGTTATTAGGAGTTGTTGCCCTATATAATGTTGGACATAGTTAATGGGCAGTATGCCAATGTATCATAATGTTATTTTTTACCAGTTGGCCCCTGTCATATATTAGGGATGTGTGGTTCTTTTGTAAAGTCTGGTGTATGCAGCTGAGTTACCGGTTCTTAATGTACATTTAAGGATTGTGTTCCATGTTAAAGGGACGACCCTATATTGTTGACTATCATGCAAGGAATTAAGGATAGTTCGAGATGGAGAGTACCTGTGTTATCTCCAGATGATATCTGATGATGTTTACTATCTCTTACTGGAGTAAGCAAGTAATTTCCTGCTGATGTGCTACGGAGGAAGGTCATTTGAAGCCTGGCAGAGGTATTTTACACTTCTACTGGAGTATACACGTAATTTCCTCGACGATTTCACTGGTTTAGTGGCAAATGATGATTTGTTCTATGCTGATCTCTTCTCGTTTACTCTGCAGGCGCTCTTCCGAAATTTGGAAGGAGCTTATCTGCAAGGTTTCATTTCATGAACACACTCATTTTTAAGGTATGGCATGGTTAGAAGGTTCTATGAACTGTACTTTTGTTAAAAGCATTAGCTGGATTTGGCTTGTTTGTGTTATCAATTAACGCATACTGATTTCATGTGAAACAGGTTATTGTTCACTGTTTCTTGCTTGACAGCAATTTCAAGCAAGCAAATGTTGGAGTGAGTTGGCTCTCATCATAGCTTCATCTCCTGCATCAACATTGGGTGAATCAGATTCCTCATATGCTGTAATCATAAAACCTTAGAGGACCCTCTTGCTAACAATAACTCATACGTATCCAGACACATACGGATGACATTGGATCCTTTTGTTGCTTGCTATACTACATTCAGATAGCACACTACAACGTTATTGAATCATATATAAACCCCAGTCATAGCATTAAGTCACTTGCTCGTGCTATAGTTTTGGATATACGGTATCATCTCTGCTAATTATTTTTCAAAGTTTATTTTACCATGATTTATTTGAAACTTAGTATGGTAATTTGTAAGTATCCAAGTATCCATATTCTTGTTGGTTTCAGTAAGTCTTAATAATGTGTGGTGTACACTATTCAAACAAGGTGCCCTCCCAGTGTGTGAGGCTCTGTTTTGTAGATTGTATTTCGTTTCTAGCTTTTACAGTCATTAATTTGATGAGGTATTATCAGAAGAGAAAGGAATATAGCATCTTTCATTCCGGTTTATTGTTCTATTTAGACCTCCATCGTTTATACCCATTTGAGAAGCATTACTTTCGGAAAATGGCTTTTATGGAAAACTGGGTCATTGGACTACTAGAAACTTTCAAATACTTAACACTCCTGATTTAATAACCCTTTTAATTACGTATGAAGTAAACAATTTTGACTAAGTTGGGTGGTGGTTGTGCACATTGTGAATGGATCCATTAGCTCAAAGTTGGTATGAGCGCCCAAACTGCTACGTATGGGAGGATGGTGGTTCGACTCCACCTGGATCCGCTTTTCTGACTTGGGTTCCATCCACGAATATGTCAATCCAAACAAGAAAGTTTAGTATTGTCACTATAAACTTTTATCTGTTATTTGTTATCAATGCTGTGAGCCAAGGATTTTTTTTGTCTGCAGTTCTGCATTACAGGTGAAGCGTTTGCCAGCAGAAGCAATATGACGAAACATGAAAACATTGTCCATGAAGCTAAGCTAAGCTAAGCTGATCTTATGCAGCCCAAGCTAGAATGGTTTAGCAGTCTCGAGTACTAACCTCATCACCGCCAATATCTTATAAGAACACACGATCCCACTAGGTTATAATATTTTAATGTATTCCTTGTTGATATTGCATTTGTCTATTTGTATTGATCGAAAATATATCTTTAGTTATGTATATATGGATTCAAATTAAGATATTACCAGAAATAATTAACATCAGAGTAATTTATATATGTTTTTGCAAGTTATCCTTGTAATATACTACTCACATGCTTGTCTTATCCGAATTTTTGTTAATTAACTTATTTCTTTGTTTAGTATCCTCTTTTTTTCCTTTTCTTTTTTAAAATAATTAACGTTCTAGAACTGTTAGATTGATAGATATATTTGTTAAGAAGTCCTTATCAATGCGTATGCAATAGAGGAGGGGCACACAAGCAATGACACAAAAGCTGGTCCTCCTCCTACTTTTATTTATTTATTTTTTTTGGAGTCAAAGCCGCCCTATATTTTTTGGGGTTGAATTGAATAAATCAAACGCATTTTCTGGGATTAAATTTATTTATTTATAAGACCTAGTTTATTTGGTTTTTTTTTTTTTGACTGGAAGTTTATTTGGTTAAAAATGAAGAAAGCAACACCCAACAGATTATTACAGGTTGATAGTGAACTGAATAAGATACTCCATTGCTTCACACAAATAATTCACCTTTCTAAATCCAAGTATTGGAAGTCCCAAAGAAAAATGTGAAAACTCTAAAATTGTAATTCCACCAAATTCATGTCTGAAATTTAATACATAAAATGAATATGAAGTAGCACGTTGAGGTTAGTCAATTTATTCATTGATATTGTGGAATTAAAATTCTTTGCGTGTCATTTATTCTGCATTTGTTGGCAAAAAGAAAGAAATAAATGGTATAATTATGATAAATGAGTCATCAATATGGCTACTATGTGGTGGAAATTGGAATAAGGGAAAGGAGGCAAGATTTTTATTTATTTGGTAGCCTTAGACTTTTTCTCATAACTTTGGCACATGTAAGTGGAATCAATGCCCCAATTTACCAGGCACTAAGATAGCAAAACTTTATTTAAAAATAAATATCTTGTATTAAAAGTATTACTAAAAACATAGAAAAAACAATAATAATGAAATACAAAATAAAAGTATTTTTTCTAGTAACATATATATTAAATTAAGAGAAATAATACACATATGATTTTTTTAGTTAATCAAGTCAAACAAAGTTATATAATATCACATATTTCTAGTGATGAGAATAATTTCTACTAAAGTTAAACCAATTTAATTGGATTTAGTGGATAAAAAGATTTATATATATAATATTATTCTAATTAATTCAGGAGTGTTTTGTTTTTACCCCTACCAATTTCTTTTGGACCAAGTAAAAAATAAATAATAATAAATAAATAAATAAAAGGACATATAGTACATGACACAGTACCACCTAACCTTTCTCCTGGTGTTTTGTGAAGTGGGGGTAACTATTCTTTTTTTTTTAATTACTTTTAAAATGAAAATGTTTTCAATAGCATGTCAATAAATAATTTTTTTTATTGGTTCCCACTCTTCCAAAATAGCATGATTAATCCGTTATAAATTTGAACTTTATTTAAGGGTTTGTATATATTAATAAATAATTTAACATGGTAGTTTATTTATTTATTTTTACATTTTTATTTCTATGTCTTTTGTTTTTTTTTTTTTTTTTTGTGTTTTTGTTTTTTTTTTTTA